CAAACCGGCTTCGCGTAGCGTATAAGTCCAATTATCAAAATATTTTTGCATATCATTTTGCATCCTGCCCCTGAACTACGCTGGTTTGATTCCTTGCAAAAGGATACGTAGGCAGCCTGCGGGCGCAACCATTTATTTATCTGTATTTTGTTTGTTTGTCCAAGTCTTCGGCCTTGTTAAAAATGGGTCGTCTCTAGGTTTTGACATTCACTCCCGTCACTTCTTGACTTCCGAGTTCTGTCAAAGAGGGTCAACTGTAGACACCCCATTTTTGACTACCTTTAAGACTTGGACGTGACTGATGGTTTACTTGGTGGAGAAAGGTGTGCAGCGGAAATGTGCAATTTCTTCGGCAAAGAGAGAGTCAAATCTCAACTTCATACCCCTGTTCTGGACCAAAACAATCTTGATCAAAATATTTTAGTCTTAAAACCCTCTCTCTCAAAAAACGTTTTTGAAATAAAGTTCATACGATGTTCTGACGCTCGCATTTTGTTAAAAGTTGCGCTTTTGGGTAAACCGAGCAAGGACAAAGTGGAAATGAATGAAGGAGAAATGAAATCTTTGAAAAATCTTTCAAAATACCTTGCTTAGGGGTTTGAAGTTGAAGAAAAGAGGAGAAGAGGGAAGAAGTCCAGTTGAGGAAGAAAATGGGCATGAATCGTTAAGAGAGAATTGAACAGCCCTCGCCGAATCGGGCCTATTCATTCACATACTTGGAATCAAGCTATGAGGCCACCACCGTTGGAAATCTTACTCCCGGGGCCTCATTTTTCACTCAAGAATCTCCTAAATCCAATTCCGGATAGGGGAGATATGGTTGATTGAAGTAGGGCATCATTCCGGCTGGGACTGAATCTGCGCGGCTTCACGGAAATGGGCATAACTTTTTCCACAGGAAGAATTTTAATGCAGGGTTTGTGCCATTGGAAATCTAACTTCCGGGGCTTCAATTTGGACACTTTAATGGCCATCATTGGACTTCCCAATCACCCACCGGCCACATTTCTTCCTGGCAGCCCATTTTTTTTTCCTGAAAAGTAGTCGGCCGGCCAGAAATTCCAGAAAATGTAGCAGGCCGGCCAGAAAAGTCAAAAAAAGTAGCCGGCCGGCCACATTTTTCTGGTGGATGATTTTTTTTGCCCATTTAAACTAGCCGGCCATGATCCTTGTCCCAAGTACATTCTAGCCATGTATTTTGTTTTACACTTCACCCATGTCCGAGGGTTTGGCCCTTTTGGAGGGAAACTTGGATTGTTTTCCCTCCATTTTTCCCCCCTTTTTCCCTCCTTTTTGTCTATATAACAGCAGCCCCAGGTCTGTTATGAGGGTTACAAAAAATTGCCTCAAGCCCCTTGCATTGCATCTCCCTCTCTCTACACTTCAACCCTCCAAACCTTTAAGTTCCTACACCCCTTTCTACACCACCACCTAGCACCATACCCCCAACCTCCATTGAAGCCACTTGAAGCTATTTTCCAGAGCTAAGGAGCCACCAAACTCAAGCCAAGAGGCTGTCAAGGCATAGTCTTCAAGGGTGAGCTTCCTTTTTCCCTTTTCTAGCCTTTTCTTGATTTATTTATTAGCCATACTTGCTTGCTGTTTTGGGTTCCGACCCTAACTGGAACTAGGCTTATTTTGAGCTATTTTTCATGTTTGTTTAAGGTCCTCTCACTATTTGAGGCCTCCTTGTTGCACTTGCTTCATTACCCCTCTTGTATGCCTATTCCTTGTGTAGTATTTTCGGGTAGACTGTTTTGAGGCATGTCATAAACTGTAAAGTTGCTTATTTTGAGCCCTTCTTCAACATTTTTGAAGGGATTATCACTGTTAGAGGCTTCTATCTTCCACTTTCCTTTATATCCCTTTTTTGGCTCCATTTTTGCATGATTTGTTAGCCTCTTATGATTCGGTTTTTGGGCTCTGGTCCGAACTAAAAATGACCTTATTTTGACCCCCTCTTAATGTTTCATTAAGGGTATTTCACTATTTGAGGTATACTTTTGGTACTTTGTGTTATAGCTCTCTTTTTGGCCTTGTTTTGCATGGTATTTTGAGCATGCTTTTGTACTGTTTTTGGCTCGGTCATAAACTGTAAAAGGTCATATTTTGGGCCCCTCTTCAACATTGTTGAAGGACCCTCATCTTTTTAGAGCCAGCAGCTGCCACTTGCTTCATTACCTCTCTTTTGGCTCCATTTTTGCATGCTAGCTTAGCCCCATTTGTGTTCACTGTTTGGCCTTGATTAAAACTGTGAACATGCTTGTTTGGGGGCTGCCTTGAATCTGTCTTCATACTTCATGTACAAATAATGCATGCTTGATGTAGCTACAAGCCATTTCATGTGCTTAATCTTGCATTTCGGGACCATTTCATGCATCGGGTGTTATATTGTCATGATTCGGGGCTGTTTCGGGTCATATTTTAGCGCTGAAATTTGCATGTTTTCATATCATATTTCATGCCTTGCCATGTCTTGTTAGAGTGGCATTTGGTGCCTTAGGGTCGGTCCTCGATTTGTGCGCACGTGTGCACGCATCTCGAGTGTCTCATTTTCATCTCATGGCCTCTTATGCGAGTGTGGCTGATGTCCGCTTGTGTTAGGGTAAGTCCATTTATGCATTGTGTATGCCATTTCATTTCATAGCATTGTGTATGCTAAGTTGTATGTTAGCGCATTGTGTATGCCATGTTACCTCGTGCATCGTGTATGCCATTTCATAGCATTGTGCATGCTAGGTTGTATATTAGTTGCATTCATGCATGTCATGCATATTGCATTGTGCTTGGGATAGGAGTTAGCCCGAGTTCATTTTTGGTGGAGACCTTATTTTCACTGCTAAGAAGGTCGTAGAAGGGTGGGAGGCCAGTAATTGTTGTTGACCCTTTTGAACCCCTTTGAAAAGTGGGTTGTTCTCTCTCCTGGTTCACTTTTTCCAGT